TGACAGGAGGTGCATTACTGTGTAGCCTGTTCTGGTACGGATCTAACCAGGTCCTTACGGAGATGGGAAACCAGGTTGCAGCACTACATAGTGCCAGTTGACCAGTAGGTGGAGCTCCTTCTCTGGACCAGAATTTCCAAACTAAAGCCTCAGGACAGGTAATAATGTGCTGTAGGAGGTGCAGCCCAGTAATGTTACACCCAGGTCCTGACCGATTCGTCAATAAAGAACCCATGGCACTGGTCATAACAGTAGGGGTGTTTACCTCGGTGCTGCAGATGGATTAAACACTGGGCTTTTATAATCTGGTCTACCAGAAGAGATCCCCCTCAGCTGGGGAAGTAGAATGTGTGGTGGTTGCACTTCATTCTTGGATGAAGTGGGTGTCCTCTTATCAATAAAGTGCTTTGTGAATCCTCAGGATGAAAAGTGCTACATAAAGGCAAGGAATTATTCATTATTAACTGCAGTAAGCCTATAACAGAATCTTCAAATTCACTGGTACCACCATAGAGGTCACTTCGCCAAAACAACAACTGCAGCTGCTAACAATAATGAATCATGGATCACCCATGCATCTGACCACAGCCATGGAACCCTGCAGCATCATGACTCTGCTTTCCTGCACTGCATGACTGTAGCAACAACAACTGCCTCCATACTGACTTGGAGCTGGTGCTGTCTACTGCGGTGATGACAGACCAGATGGACGCAGGAGAAACCACGAAAAGTCCTCAAGTCCAAATAAGGGAACAGTGCAGTTTTGGAGGCAACAACAGAATCGTGTAGGGGAGAGATATTGACTTGCTGCTGATGGTAAGTTAACTGAACAGCAATCTGCTGATCCCATTTTGAAGCTTTTGTTCCACCTACAGTATTGTTACATTAAAAAAATGCCAGTATAATCCATGAAAAGTTAAACTCGATAACCAGCACATGGGCAAAGGTCACTTAAGATCAGTCTTGAACTAGCGTGACTTCCTGTCATGCATGTATCCCCTGTATCAGGTCTCAACCCCATTGAACAACAGTATGATCACTTTGGGCTGATGTGGACTTCACTGTAAACACAGAGGATTTGGCAGTTGCCTGAATAGAGGAACATCCCTGTGGACAGTGTGCAATGCGTCTGTTGCATGTATTATGTATATATACTGTACATGTGATCAGATTAACATTGGACAAACCAGGTATTGATCATGTGTATACTCTCAGTTCCTGACGTCTATACTCCAGAGATTAGGCTACAGAAATTGGTTTATCAAGCATCACAGTCATAAATCATACAATTAACCTATATTTATTCCATCTAACACGTATCCTTAATCCAGAGTTGCATTTCTAAACCATTTCAGTATGTATCAACGCAGCACGGTTCAGAAAACAAAGGTTTTGTCAAGACAAACACCTGGCTCAAATATCTGTTTCAGAACTCAATCCGGGGAAGTTTTCGGTTTCAGAGCAGATGCGAGAAGATGCACACACAGACTGAGATGGAATGCTGCATACAGAAAATAAGCAGAGGACTGCAAGTACTGACTGCTGTCCTCTTCTGCGATGTACGTCAGCAAAGGCCCATGCTCTGACAGCAGTGGCAGGACCCAAACCCACACAATTACCCGCCATTACACACAGGAAAAAACAAAGCTTTCGAAAAACTGCAAAACAACAACAACAACAACAACAATAATAAAAAACAAACACATTTATGCAAGTTACTTCTTTTGCCAATCATGTTGGAGCACCTTCCAAAGCAATTATTGTAATTAAGAAATTAAAGGGGCAGATCGAAAAAGCTCAAACACATGGTCAAATAAGAACCAACAGCGTTGTTAGCTCCATGTGGCTAGCGCCGCCCTGGTGGCTCATCTGGTGTTAATCCTGCAATGTGCAATGGGGGAAGCGCAAACATGATCTGCTCCAGCCAGGAAAGGTTGTGGGACGATATTGAAGACAGGGGTACTGTTTAAGGCCTGTTTGTTTTATAAACTACACAACTGAGACACCAGCAAAATAACTGACTTCCGTTGCTCTGAGGCATTCTAAATGAAGAAAAAAAATCTCCAAATTACAAAAACATATGTAGTAAATTACATATTTGTCCTCTTGAAAAGGGGATAGGGAAAGGAAAATTACTGTGACTTAGTACTAAAGCAAAACAGGTAAAAATTTAAACACTTTAAAGCACCTAGTCTATACTCCCACATGTATAGAAAAAACCCTCCTCTTTCATCTTGTGGGTAGTTATGCAATATTTACTACGGAAATGCCCCACACCACCTTCTAGGGTTGCAAAACCCGTTTTTGGAGGAATCGTCCCAAATTTCTAAACACAATTGTCTCTAAGCAAGAGACAGCCGGTCTGCGAGCTGCTTCTAATGTGCAAACAAACAAAGTCCTTCACACTACCCCTGCCGTGAGATGTTGTACAAAATAAAACCATAGCAATGTCGGCTCATGCTCTGCTTGACAGTGATCAGGTTAGTTCAGAAACAAACGGACAGCCAAAATGAATAGAGAGGTAGAGAGAGAAATAAAACTCAGATTCAACAGCAGATGCAAGAGAAAACTTCACACTGCAAACCTGTCAGGGAAAGGAACCTACCAACACAGAATTATCCAACAAGATCTCCTGCACGAGAGAGCAAATGACAGACCAGTCACCATAGCACCAAGGGGAGAGAAGGATACTCACATACACAGATGACAGAAAAGATTTCAGCTACACAAATTACAACTGAGAATAAAGATGAGCTAAGAATAGAATTTCCTGCTTTTCATATTTTAAAACCTCAAGTTCAAACTTTCAATAAAATATATACAAGGCACAAGGAAAAGAAAACAGAATATAAAGAGAAAATTTTTGAAAGTTTGAACAATAGAAGAGTAACAGACTAAAAAAAACAACACAACAAATGGTCTGGGTCTAACAAACATTTTCTATACAGTAAAATGCCATGTCTGTAATGGACAAAACTAATGGACAAAACTAACAAGGTACTACAAAATTACTAGAAGTGCGAATGCTGGAGGTTTTTAAGCACTATTTTAATTAAATGGGTTGAAGCAAAGGAAGAGTGAGACTGCAGCTCTAAAACAGCACTGGGCTAACTAGACCTCAGCAGGAAAGGTGCAAATGAACACCAAAAATGAGTTAACAGAGACTACAAAATATTCTTTACCCTGTGGACAGTGCTACAGAAAAAAGCTAAGGTCCGTATTGTGTAGTACTCCTAAACGTCTCCAGATAAAGAGCAGAACACACATTAACAGCCTCAAGTACATTGATATTGCCTACAGAATACCCCACACGGAAGCAACTTGTTTAAAACACAAAGCCGCGAAGGCAGTGAAGGTGCTCGACAGCACAAGGCATAGAGGATGGTGCTTACGCAGAGGCTGGGGACAAGGCTGGTGAGGTTGACGTGCCGGGGGGCAAACATGTGGAGCTGTTGCAGGCAGGAGATGGCCTGAGCCTGGACCAGACAGTCAGGATTGTCCTGCATCACCGCACAGCCAACCAGACAGGACGTCCTGAGGGCCGAGACCGCGGAGCTGCTACCTGAGATAAAGAGAGCCGACATGTCCTCTCAGAGCCGCCAGCGAGGCAACCTCTCCAGGCCGAATTCCAGCTTTCCTGAACGGATCACAGCCGTGGTGATAGGGATGGCAGTAAAGCTGTTCGTATATGGGGGAGAATCAACTGAGAAAAAATACAGCTATCGCCCAGTTTACAGCCCCTGGGATCTAGGAAAAATACAGCTTCGCATGCCTGAGAACGGTAGCAGATTGTGAACAAATAGTTTACGGTACAAAGTAAAAATAAAATACTATTTCAAGTAGGGAGCTGCGTCAGCATGTGTGGGCTGCAAAGGAACAAGTAAAGGTTTATTCCCTGCTGAAAAGTAAAGAGACACAATGTTTCAGTTCCACAGCCGAAACATTGGGGTTTTTTTTCTTTTCAGCATGGAATAAAACTTTACTTGTAAAATATTATTTGATATCTGTTCAAATCCAGGTCCTTTAAATCACAGTCTTAATCTTAATTGCAGTCCTTTAAATCTTTTACTTTTTTATCCTTACCCTGCTTTGTACAAATATTATAACAAAAAACCATGTCCCATATGTTGCTCGTACACATCCCATACTACATTTAGGACCGGAAATGACCTTTAAGATGGGTCTCCTGTCTTTAGGCTTGCAGATCAGACCTGAGGCTTCTGTTCCGGACACGTTGTTTTGAAAAAGGTACCTTGCAGCTCGGGTCCAAGGGAGGTGATGAGGACGTTTAAGCAGCGGCCCAGGCTCTGATGCACCTCCACGTGTGCGGGAGGCACAGACAGCAGCAGCCTCAGGACCAGAGTGAAGGTGGGCTCTATGTGTGCGTGGTACAGTGGCCCAGCGAGGTCTATCACCAGAGACAGGGAGTGCAGCGCCCACGCCTGTCAGACAGCAGACGGACACCTGAAAGTTATCCTGCAGACCAACCACCGCAACGGACAAAGCACACAACGGCACACCACTTGTACTCTAGAATTTATACGATAACAGACGCAACACATACGTGAGCATAAGAAAATGAATAATAAATAAAAAAATAGTATATTAAAAAAATGCTACTTTAATGAGTAAAGAATGTGAAGTTACACCGATATTAAAGTAGTCACTCAAGCATTACAATTACCTGAACCTCAGGTGAGGTGCTGTCCTGAGAGAGGGTGTATAGGATTCCCACACAGGCACCCAGATGCTGGCTGGAGCTGATACCTCCTAAATAGCGGTACAGGGACCCCAGGAGCAGGGAGTGTCCTGTCCGCGATATCACGTCCCTGGCGGATTTCAGCCTACAAAGGAGTTTTTCTCCGTTATTTTTACGGTCAGCAAAGAGCTTCGCGATTCTACCGTTTCATCTCCCTTTCTCAACAAGAGCAGTCTGACAGCTGTGCACCCAACAAGCAATCATTACATCGGACATTAGAAAATGCGATCAGAAGGATTCTTTTTGAACCACAAAGGTCAGGAAAGGACAAGGTCAGAATTCAGGCAGGGTTGGCCTTTTTTTGGACACAAAAGAGACGTTAATGTGTACTGTGATCTTGATCTGATAAATTTAAATGCATGCTACAAAAGCAGCCCTCATTAAAAAAAAACCCACAATGTTTCTGGAAAATTTTGAAAGAACAGATTCTAAATAAATTTAGAGGAAATTCCCAAGGGGGTGCATTCTGGGAAGGCAGGCTTGGCGGTCCAGTCTCTACGCACTTGTCAAAGCTGATCTGGGTCACGCCCGCGGTGAAGGCCGCGTCGTTCGCCGCCTGCGCCAGCCGAGACAGCCCCTCGGCCGCCGCGCACCTCAGCTGGGCGTTGGCGCTTTCCAGAGCGCCCATCAGCAGAGCCAGAGCCGGCTTCCGCAGCTCCTCCGAGCCCAGCCCCCCGCGGCACGTTCCCAGGCGCTGGAAGACAAGCAAGAAGCGGCATCTCTCCCTCTCCCTGGGGGCTGCGGCCCCCGGGGGGGTCAAAAGTTCCGGAACCTTCTGCATTATTGTAGTCTCTCAGTGGAAGGAAGTAATACAAACCCTCCCATAAGAACTTACAGATAAATGAGTAATTACCAATCAGCCTGAGGGTAATTAGGTCTGGTTTACTGTGACCTTGGGAGGGGCATAAAAGCAATGTGTTTTTGTAAAGCAATTCTATCAATTTAGTGAGTGATTATTACATCGCTAGAGTTGCGAGGCTTAATTGAGTTTTATTTTGTATTGTTGTGTTGTGCCACTTGAGGCTTAGAGCACTCGTTACTTTTAAGGCGCAGAAGAGGCTGAAGAGCCCCGAGTATCAGAATTCCACACAGGGAGAAATGCTCAAAACGCTGCGACTGGTTGATAACTCCCAATCCTTCCCACTGCTCACCCAGTTCTCCAAAGCGTGCACCGCCAGGGAGTGTCTACACTCTCGGACTCGAGGAACCTGGAGATTTACCTTCAAGGCACAGCAGAACGCGGAGACTGTGTGGATCTGGGCTGCCTGCTGGCGGGCTCCTTTGAGTTGTTTTAGGCTCTCCAAAAACTGCTCCAGAATCTGGGCTCTTCAATTCAAAAGAATTTCATTGTTAAAAGACAGTGAAGGGGCAGACTATAACACCTCCTGTTAATAATACGCAGGTAAAAATAAAAGGCAGGACCCTTACACTTAAAGGCATATTTGAAAGAATGTACAAAGGCAAATGTACTATAAATGTTCAGAAAATCTAAATTAAATTGCAGTCCCAGTTTCTCACAATGGTTATTGAATCTCAGTAACAAAATAAATTAATTGACGTCCTAGAAAAATTTGACAAATTACGAATTAATCATCAAAAACTGAGAACTTTGTGAAAGTACCCCAAGTCGCCATGTTGTCTCAAACCCACGGATTGTGGCCCTTCCTGCTCACTAGTCACTGACGTCCTGCGACGTACGGGCAAATAAGTGTCATCACTGCTGATTCCTTCTAACCCCAAAATATAAAAGGGAGTTTCAACTAAGCTTCCCCTTTAATTAAAACCTTGTTGAGAACTCGTGTTCAGTCTAATACAATCTGGGGCAGCACGGTGAAGCGAAAAGTCTCTGGGCTCGGGAGTGGCGGGCTGTGGGTTCGACACTGCTGTTGTACCTTGAGTGAGGTACTTTACCGCCATGGCTCCAGTCCACCCAGCCCAGCCAGGACCAGTGTTTGCTGGGTGTGAGCTCGGTGATGGACTGGTCTCCCATCCAGGGTCAGAGACCTATGTTCCTAGTTCGCTTAAAACCATGGACACCAGGACGTGGCTCGAACCTGATCTCACCTGGGTCTCAGAACAATGAATTCTAACTCTAAGAGGACACTAAGCGCGCTGCCTTCAGTTTTTACTTGTTCATTTGGCCCTGGAAGGGAGGGGAGTGCTTCGGTGTTATTTCGAAGAAAGACCGCGGACAGGTCCGACCGCCAGCAAAAACGGGAAACGGCGGCTTCCCCTTTGGGGAAGGCGGCTACCTCTGCGCGGCCGCCAGCTGCGGGAAGACGACCCCGAAGAGCCGCGCTGCCGCCACGACGACGGCCAGCGCGGGAGGCAGGGGGGCGGGGACCCTCCACCCCTTCTCGCTGATGACGAAGACGTCGTGCTCCAGGCTCCCTCCCCCAGCGCCGCCGCCCTGGTGCAGCTGGGGGAAACAGCGCAGGCAGGTCAGCACCCCACAGCCCAGGCCCCGCAGACAGGAGGCACAACCAGGTGCTGATCCAATCAGAAACGAATACTCCCTGGCATCAGGGTGCAGTCCTGCCCCTTATTAAGTAATGAGCTTAATATTAAAGCCTTGAGCCAACTTAACGTACAGCATGTCAGTTGTATATCAGCATATAGTATATACTATATATATGTACAATATATAGTATGAGTATATCAATATATAGTATATCAGTATACCATAGTACATCAATTCCAATATAGCACAAACAGAAAATGTTACGACTATTCATGAAGTTCATTTCACAACTATCCAGCTATTTCCTAAAAGCTTTATCCAATACAGAGTTGCAGAGGAGAAGACAGAAAAATATGGAAACTTAAAAAACTGAGTGCAAGTACATTTCCCTCATCATGTGCATAGGCTCACACACTTTTCCGACAAAGATATTTCATGTTGGATCGTTTTGATCAATAAATGAATGCAAAATTGTATATCCCTTTGCGTGTTATTTGTTTTATTGGGTTTTTCTTTATCTAATTTTAGGACTTAGATGAAGATCTGATCGCAGTATTGTACAGGGCTGGGCTGCCCTGGCCCAGTGGCTCAGACCTGCTCCTCGATGAAGTGGTGGTCGGTGTCCTGCAGCGCTGGGCCAAGGAGAAACACATCGTCCGCATGGCAGAGAGGCGGCAGCAGAACCGGGCCAGCACACACAGGGCTCTCAGGTCCAGTCAAGTCACTGACCAGCTGTCTGAGCACGGCTCTGAAACTCTCTGGAAATGGTGACAAGGCAAGGATGTGAGACGATCGCATATCCGACAGTCCGCTTAGTTTTAACTCAACATTAGTCCTAAAAGCAACCCTGCACTAAACCTTCACCATAACTCAATCCTTTCTCTCAATTCTATCACCCTATACCTCACCATACCTTTAACACTAACACTAACATAGACTTCCGGTAATTTTCAGCCACTTTAGTAGCCTCACTAAATAATTTCATGCTATCTGAATCTGAATTCAAGCAAATTAAAAAGACCCTTTAGAAGCCATCACAGATTAAAAGAGCTGAGTATTTTTCTCTAGCACTTCTCTGCACCCAGCAAAGATGGCCAGAAACAGACTGCCACAGGTCTTCACAAAGAAAGGTTATGACAGAGCAGGCTGAACTCTCATCAATCCCACATGAGCGCAAACTGCACTGCATGAGGAGCACTTTAAATAATGAGGCAAACATGAGTATCAATTTCAAATGTTAAAATCAATCTACAACAAAGCAAAAACTATATTCCTAAGAAAAAACACTGACCAGCATTGGATAGTTTTTATCTGTTTCTCTAACTTTATAATCTTACCTTCATAGGTCTTGGGAGGCAGAAAAGCAAGGATCTCATACAGTCTCTGTCTAAAGACCATTGATATATTTTTCATTGGATTCCCATATACTTTGAGAAGCGAAGGCAACCTAAGGAGAGAGAAAAGAAAGCACTGGGAATTAAAAGCTTCTATTTTCCAATGTCATAATGAAAAACAGTCAATAAACCAACTTATAGTCATAAAATAAGCTTTTCTAATGAGTAAGTAGCAACTGCTGGAGCTCCATGGTCAGCCTGATGCCGTGTTCCCCAAGTCACACGACTCTCTCCTTGCTGCACGTTAATCAGGCTCGGCTGGTGAGGGTGGAAAGATTTCCCAGAATCCCCAGCGCCTGATGAAGCCTGAGGTCTTCGCTCTGCAGTCTGGTACACATGCTGCCTAACTAGTCTACAGCCACATTCAGGGTGAGCCGAATGCGTACAACGTCGCATTGTCACAGGTCTCAAGGTGGAGAAGAGAAGGGTTTCAATAAATCTGGCAGTCTTTCTTAAACGGCTCGTAGTTCTGTTTTGTGTGATAAAACCATCTTTCATCACCCCTTTGAGCTACAGTTTCGTCCAAAGCATCACATGGGAAGGGAAATCTGAAGTGTTTTCCCCCCCCCACAAAGTAATTCTTCTAAATGAAAGTTTCACTCGAGGTGTCGAGCTTTATTATCACTTTGCTGCTGTTTCAGGCTGCCCCTCTCAAACAGCACCCTGTGCCAACGCACCCCACCCCACCTCACCCCAGGTTTGTTTGGCCAACTCAAACGTATGATCACCTACGCTCAAGCCAAGAAGGACTTTGGGAGGTCACACGGCACAGCTAACAAAAGAGAAAGGTGTGCAAATGAAAAGAATGGGCATAAACAGCACCTGAACAAATAAACCAGGCACGAGCCTATTTCCAAGCTCAGCCGAGTCTTTGCCCCAACATGCGACAGGACCCCCACATTCCCCCACTGATCTGTCACAGCCCCCTGTCCAGTGTCCAGCATAGCCTCCATGATCCAGCGGTCCCAGACAGAGCAGCAACTACTTACTGCGTTAATAAAGCTACGGCACAGGTCAGGGGCGGCAGCAGCCGGCCAATGACATCATCATTGAGGAGATCTCCACAGTGCACGACAAAGTTCTTCATCGCTGGAGAGGAGGAGGGAGGACAGCGTGTGTGAGACACCCCCCACCCCAAAACGACATAGTGCACTAAAAACCACTTCTCCAAATTTATAAATAATTGTAAATCCAGCCATGACTGAAGCTGTGGCTTTGATATTGATTCTTATTGGTAAAAAAAAAAACACTCCACTAATCGGTCCTGCATAGAACCAGGTACTGCAGTAATGCAAAAACATTTTAGAAACCATTTGAATGTTTATAAATTATTCCTTTGCATGTGAGAAAAAAACTCTATAGTCCTCTTTAATCAAACTATTTAAGCAGCAGGCACGTTTATGAATATTATACTATTTTTTTTAATATCTGAAAATCCGGAGATGAACAAGACGTCTGGAAGGGGACAGATATTGAAAACTCAATTACCATCAACTCACAGCAAACATGAGCAAAACAGTGTCCTCACAACTTTGCTCTACTTGACCAAGGAACTTCAGGCAAGGGCCGAGGCATTAGGCCCATGTGTTCCATTGTTCTGAAAGTGAGCAGGCATGAAAAATCCAGCAGGGGGCAGTGTGATCGTCTGGCCCATCGGCGCGGGTGGACTGGGAACCTACCACACAGGGCTCCTGCCCGGCCCTCCAGGGTCACCTGCCAGGTGAAAGAGTCTCCACGGCTACGCTCCGTGTCCAGATCCTTGACGGACAGAGGGAAAGCACACCTCCACAGCAGCAGGATCCTGGGAACATGGCACTCGACGACAGCGGGCCCTGCCCCAGATTGAAAGACATCCCGTTTATTCCAAAAGATTTATTTCAGGCTCCTCTGCCCGTTTAGAACCCGGCCGTTCTTCTCCAAGGTTAGCTTCTCCCACTTCAGAGCTAAGATTCCTCATTCCAACAGCGGCTTCTGTCAAGATCCGATTTCTACATTCTAGTTAATATCTCACTGTTTTAAAAAATAACGCAATTATGGAAAAAACGTCTCACCTAATGTCATTAATGCTGACAGCAGGAGCCAGCCAGCTTGAGTGCGCTGGACAGAGATGCGGCTGTTCTGGACGGCAGATCGAAGCAAGTCCTCTGCCAAGCCAATTACTACCTGAAAATCCCAGAAGACAGAGGGCAGAAATAAATAGTTTTAAACCAGTACCGGACACCACCATGTCACTTGGGAAGAGTGTGATAATTTCACTCTCAAAAGTCTCAAAGGATGCTGGAGCTTCAATCAATAAATAATTACGAGGTACAGATGCCAGGGTACGAGGAGCAGGCTATTAATACATCACTGCCCTGGCTCTCTTCTGCCTTGTGTTATATCAGCCAAGAGGAACCGGTGTCAGCAGCCGCAGATGCAGTCTTACCAGCGGAACAGCTTTGCACCAAATTCCCACACAGACACGAGGAAACTTTTTTCACCACTCTGCAACTGAGTTTTTCTTGTCAAAAACTCCCAGCCTTCCTCACACGTATCACACCCATCTCTCAGTTAATCAAATACTAATACCATCCTGTTTGACACACAGAACCAGCAACTTTTACTGAAGGTGCCAGCAAATATTCTACACACATTAGACA